ATCTAAGAAATATTTATCATCTATCTTTCTTGGTTTCTGTTGACATAATCTTATCAGACTACTTTGAATTGTACTATAATGTCATAAAAAAATTATATATATCTATCTATATATATATATATATATATATATATATATATATAGATTACATGTTGCTTTTCTACTACACATATCAATAATAATTATATCAATATAAAATTAATATGAATTGATTAATTACAACTAAACAGAAATTAGGAATTGAAATATAGAAACATACATGTATAAATATAAAAATTAAAATAAGAAAATAAGAAATAATTTATATTTTGTAACTCTGGTGAAGAATTTAATAAACATAATGTATTAATGTATATAAAAACTAGAATAATTGTTCAAAACCAACCCAAAGATCTGCAGTCTTATCATTCCTGCTGACAAGTTCCTCGAAAGGAATACTACAATTTGCGACGAAATAATCTGGCGGTAATGCCGCATCGTGGAAGACAGTGAGTCCGAGGTTCACCGCATCCTGAACTTCATGGGTGAAACACTCGTTCCATACTGGATCAAAGGTTTTTGGTTTAGTGGATGAACGATCAAGATGATTTTCATCGACATCCAATTGAACGTAAGGATCAAGTATAGGTTCATCTTGCCAAAACTTGCGTTGCTTGTCCGTCGCCCTTAGTCCAACTGCCTCGCATATTTCAATTTTCACTGTCCCCGTGAACATCGCGAATTAAATGCACCACACAATATTATTAAGAAAAAGAGGACAGCGGACGGACGAGACAGTCGACGGGCTGTCACGCCTGTCGACAAACTGACACTTCAAATTGTGCGATCAGGTTATCCAAAATCGAGTCAATTACCCGAGTTAAGTAGATCACCGAATCACTGTTGTGATTAATAATGAGTTAACGGTAAGAAACGATCGCAGGAAGGTTCGATATATATACTGTATCAAAATCTCTGAAATAATTTCACAAATATATTCCCGCGATAAATACGATCTTCCGTAGATATGTGTGGCGCACCGCTTCAAATATTCCGTCCGAGCCTTTGACTTTCCTTTCCCTCTCACTCGCACGCACACTCTCTTCACTATTTCTCTTTCTCCTTCTTTCTTTCTTTCTTTATCTTGCTTCCAAATTTCTTCCCCTTCTCTTTCTCCTCCTCCCTTTCCCTTTCCCTTCGTCACCGCCACCAGCACCGTACAGTTATAAACACTCGGATCTCTTCACGTTCACACATAACAGCCACAGAAACAGATGCAGAATTGGCGATGGCAGCAACAGGAGTTTGTCAAAACCGAGACATAAAGGAGGTAGATACAGGATTAGCAAACGACAGGCAATGCTGCTTATTGCGAGACGCCCCGTTCGCGAGTGCAAAGTCTGTCCTTGTATTTCTGATTTCTTAAGAGCCATTAAGCTCCTCTTCTTTTCTTGAATCTTATTCTTCGTATTTTTCCTTTTCGTACACTGAACAGTTCTGAACACAATTTGCACCACAAAAAATTTTGTACCACAATTTATGAAAAAAATGATTTATCACGGATAAGCAATCATTTACCGTCCCTAGACAGCCCACCGACCCGAACCGCTCGATTGGTCACTCCGCGCTTCGTCTAAAGGGAGACTCGATCTCGGCCTCGAATACCTTTCGGAATATTTCGTGCGTTTCCGTCGAAAGCTCAGGCTGCGTTTTCACCCGCACGATCTGAACCGTTTATGAACTACATTCGATTCATTATAGATTCTTCGGCATTCTTTTATATTAATATGATATGTGTTGCGTAAATAAAAATAGATGAATATGTAATTTTTTGTTTATAAATTATATTATTTATTAATATTCTAAAATTAAATTGCATGAATTTGTGGAATAAGTAGAAATACCAGAATGATACGTAGCCATCTGATTGGCGGATGTCTGGCTAAGAAAAGCACACTTCTACTTACAGATTCCAGTGTTTATTGAAAGATTCAAAACTATTTAAAAATCGTATTCTTTTAATCAAAATTTATTGATCAAAAAAACAAAAATCGCTTACTTTTTATTATCATAGAATATCATCACAAAATTAAAGAATCATTTCATAAATTTATATATCAAGTTAGAAAGTGGAGATTTAGGAATATAAATTTGTAATTTTTGATTGGGTTGGTCTCACATATGCTGTAACGATTTAAATATATTAATAACACTGACGAATAAAGGAATTTTCGATCTTTATTGAGCTATATAAATAAACGAACACACAATATGAGTCTAATATTTACACCCATGATATACATATAACACAACGATATCCTTGCATTTCTTCTTCAGGCTAGGACATTTTTGCGTTAGTAACTCTGATACGTTCGAGACGAAACAGAGATCCGCGAAAAAATTAAATTGTTCTAAATAAGAACTATTGTTCCTCGACAGCAGACCGAATCTCTTTCTTTTTTAGTTCCCTTATAAAAATCGCAATTACATGTTATATCCTATATCGCGGATCAATTATGTGATATCCACAATGAAGGAAATATCAATCTATTCGGTCGACCATCGATTCTAACAATTGTAATGCATCTTGTATTTAAAGAATAAATATTTCATCGAAATATGAAAAGAATTACGTAGACGTAATTTCGATCATGACTATATTCGCGGATAACAATGATCTACGCATTTAATTCTTAATCTGTTCTATGTGCCGACGACCACATCCGACGTACTCTCTTGCACTTCGGTAATATCCTTCTTCTTCTCTTCCTGCTCTATACTCGATATTACATACACTGGTTGCTGATACGCAAGAAAGTGTTGATCTGCGGCTAATGTTTTAGATGGATCTTTCATTTTTATCTGAAATAAACAATTATTTTTCATTGGTTTTATTAATTTTTTATTAATTTAATACAAATTTTTTTATTAAATTTTATTTATTTTAAGAAAAAAAATTTTTTTTAATAAAAAAATAAAAAATAAAATAATAACTTTATATTTAATTAAAATTTAGAATATACCTTTTTACGGTATAACATTAATAAAATGAGCAAACTGCTAATTATAAAAGCACTTCCTGCTGCTAAGACAAGAGTGGCTGTTTGATAAACAGGTGTTTCTACTTCCGTGAGAATTTCCCGTTGTTCCAATGCTACAATTCTACTTTGCATAGCCATTGGGGGCGATCTATGTGTGAAACGAGAAGTAGTTGCATCCGCAAATGATCCCAACATAGAGAGCTTCTGTATTCTGGTTAATTCTTCCAAATGAAATGCCACATCTACTTTATTTGGACCTATTACTTCGAAACTTAGTATAGCTGAGTCTTGATTGATTTCCACCCGTACATCGTTTTTTATTCTAGCGCCTAAATCACGAAGAAGATCCTCCGTTTGTCTGATAAGCGTTGTTTCATCATCGGCAAGAAATCGACCGGGGAAACGTAGAGTAATTTCGACAGCTTCTACTGGAGTTGGTACTATATTTAGAAAAAAAAAATATATATATATATTTTTATTTTATTTTATTTTCATTTTATTTTTCAATTACTTTATTGAATTATTATTATTTATAGAATTAGAATTACCATATTATTTTATATTGAATTGTTTAGATTGATAAAAAAATAATAAATCAATACAAAAGATAAAAAAGATATCATATCTTACAGCAAATATTCGTTCCTTTCAGGAAAGGCTCTGATCCTATGAGTTGATTACCCGCTTCATCAACACACCAACATGTATCACCAGCACATTGCATCGGCTCAAACCTACCCTGACGATCGCAAATTGCCGGGACATGACCTTTATCCTTCATCGCCTGACATCTCGTACCCAATACTTTCCCAATTTGCTTCTCGTCGGTTTCCAAGTTAATTAGAGCATTCTCCATGAATGCCTGAATTTCACGGTCGATTTCTTGAATTATCGGCCCCCTACCTCCTCGTCTCGCCTGCCTAAAGTTACACTTCGGTTCAGGTGCTCTAGTAAGCGAACCTTTCATTGGCTGACCCTTTCCGTTAACACACCAGCAAACACCGACATGTTCCAAACACTGTACAGGCTCCCACATGCCATTCTCGGAATCACATCTGGGTAAAAATGTCGGTTGCTTTAATCTTTGAGAGGTTTTTAAATTCTTCTCTCTAAGTCGTTCGCATTGCGACAATACAGGACATACGGTGTCGCATACTAAACGGCTAGAGAAATCATTATGACCCAATGTACATTCAGTTTTTATCCTGCATTCATTACGTTCCGGATCAAAGTACCATCTCTCGGTCTCGTTCAAACCCATTCCTAAATTACACGATACTTTTCGCGGTGGTTCGAAACAAACCTCGCGAGGTTTTGGACAGCATACAGCGTATTCGTCCAAAGGAGACAATTCACACTTGTGCGTGGAAGGACAGTGTTGACCGTGTGGCCCACAAATTGCTGGAGAACTATTTTGATCTAACAGAGGAGATCCATTCGGACATGGATTATCCTTTTTTGGTAAACAGACTGGTACAGGGGGACATGGTGGTACGCTACAAGCTACTTCAACCATCCTGCAAGCTTCATTTTCACCCCGACAAGTCACACTTTTGCAGGGGTCTCGACAGGAACATGTTGGACAACCGCTATCGGGATCCAATTCGTATCCATCGGAACAGTCCAATTTGCAATCAATTTCCGGACATCTGAGCGGCGTGTTACACTTTGGCACTATTCCCTCGAGAACACGAGTACCTGCCGCCTCTCTGCCCTCCTTATCCACACACCAGCACATCCCATTATGGCATTGAACTGGTTCAAATGCTCCGTTGGTGTCACATCTGGGAATGTAAATTCTTCTGGCTGGCTCTCCGGATTCTCTGGCGGCGTGTTCCGCTACTGCACGTGCATGTTGACAAGCGGTAGCCATCACAGGAGCTACACATTGTGTTCCACAACCCGTAGAACAACATTTTTCTGTAGCTGAACATTCTTGATCATTGCTACATTGTAGCTCGCAACTTGATGAACTTGGTACTAAATACGGACACTGGCCCGGTTTGGTAGCCAGACAGGCTGGAACCGCTGGACAGTGTTGTCCTAATCCGCAATTCACGTCGACTATCGTGCAAATTTCGTGTGGACTACATGAGACGTCTTTGCAAGGATCGTGACAACGACATTGTTCGCAACCTGTCGCATCCACCTCGAAACCGTAAGGACATGCCAAGTCACAGGACAGAGATCCGCACAACTTGAGAAGATCTTTTATCTCTTTGCAATCGCTGCTACGATTCACGCTGCTTTTTAGAACAACACCGCGATCATTCACGCAGGAACAAGTACCGTTGTGGCATTGCAAAGGCTTGTAACTGCCATCTTTTTCGCATTGAGGCGGTGGAATTGCCAGAGACATATCCTCTCTGGTTCCTTCCATACGTTCGTTGAATTCCCTCAAATATTCACACACTGAAATAATTTAATAATATTGATGATTTATGTTTCATTTTTTTTGATCTCTCTAATATTAAAATTTTTTTTTTTTTTTGGTTTAAAGAACATCTTACTAGTTTGCGTTTTTGTTGAATTGGCTGACGTCATGCAACATACTGATTGCCCAGCTTCCGGTACAACGATGCATTTATAGCCTTGAGGACATGTGTCATTCTTAGAACAGGTTACTGCGTTCCGTTCATCATCGATTAAAGGAGTTCCATAAACACAAGGACTTTGGTAAGCTTTCTTCGGTTTACATTCCGGTCTGGTTGGGCAGAGAAAATCCGGACATCCGTCTTCACGATGCAAAACGCATTGTTCACCTATTGGACATGGAAAACTAGAAAAGAAAAATAACAAATTGAAATTATATGAATTTATTATTTAAAACATTATATTTAAAGAAATATATGATTATACATCTACCCTTCGCAAGGATTGTCACATTCGCAAGTCGGACACCCGGAAGCATCTGTTTTGAATCCATACTGGCACACCTGAGCGCACTGTTGCGAAACGCAGGAAGCCGGAAGGGACCTCCCTTTCATTACGGATTTGCAATCTACTTTATTGGCGGGCCCCATGGTACCGGATATTTTTCGACCATTGTTATCCACGCACCAGCAAACCAAACCGTTCCTCGAGCATTGTCTACTCTCGTATCCTCCATCTAAAATATTGAAAAAAATATTATCCAATACAAAAAGAAGCGAAGAAGAAAATTTAAATTATAATAATCCATCAAATATCATTATTCAATTAATCTTATCTTAAGATCTTACCTTCAGAGCATTGAGGAACATATCCACGTCCCTGCCTCTCAGAGATACTTAGCATCTCCACCAATACCCGATCTCTGTGGCAAGCACTCAATCCTTGCGGCACAGAACAAACACCACCGCCGCATTTCTCGCTCTTGCAACATTTCTCAGGACCAGGGCACTCCAAGTCGTGTTGACACGTGTTACCGCATATCGCAGCCTCCTCTAACGGGCACGTTCCAGGCCTCTTCAAATTAATGTTCGATGGACAACAGACACCGTACTCCTGCTTCGGCTCAACCAGGCAGCTATACATTGGCGGACAACTCGGTTTACCCGGTTCATCGCCGCAGAGAAATGGCCTGGGTGAATCTGTGATCTGTAACGGTTCCCCAGCCGGACA